AGTCAGCAGGAGAAACAAGTTGGCCTCCCTCTAGTACACACTTAAAGTTTTTGGGGTTTTATTTTTTTTAGCAGTAAAAAATATCTTTGATAGTATTAGACAAACTTTAATTTGAGATGATTAGTTATTTAATTAGGTATTTTTTGGGGTGTAGGAAATTAGAAGAAGATGGTACTACTACTACTACTACTACTACTACAATAATAATAATAATAATAATAATAATAATAATACAGTGAAACTATTACCACTATTTATTGAAGATTCATGATGTGTTAAATACTGTTTTAAGGTTTTTTTTTTTCCCCCCAAACTTAAATAGTTTAATCTCCACAGATACCTTCTGAAGCACTATTGTCATCTTACAAGTGAGGAAAATGAAGCACAGAAAGTTAATTGGACTTCCCCAAAGTTACTTCATCAATAAGTAATAAAGCTAGAGTAGGTAGTCATATAGGCTGCTTCCAGATTTTACAATAATCAATAGCAACTTCTGGTTTTAAATGCCCATAAGGTGTGCCAGGGCACTCTGCATTTACTGGTATGGAACTTAGACCCAGTGCCTAAAACTCAGTCTAGTTATGTTCTATGCTTGATTATTGGGTTGGGTTCAATCACAGAATTTAGTGCCCCCTTCTAGATCTAGTAAATAAATATTCTGACATTTTAGTTCAAGGGTCATTTACATTATTATTTTGTTTTTCTTCATGTTACTCGCTAGAGAATATCAGATGATTTTATCAAGGATTTTTCAAGCAACTAATGCCTTAGTCATACCATATTGTAATAAAAACTTCATAAATTATTTTAAGGAAAATAATGATACTTATATTTAATTATATGTTCAACTATTTTTCCTCATTATGCTTGTGAAGACTCACAAGAGCACAGAAGTGTTAAAACAAAGTTGAAAGCATATTTTAACTTTCAAATGTCTAGAAGATATTTGAAAATTTCAGTTTCATTGGATGTAAAATTGAAATTAGATCTTCACTTACAAATGTGAACAGGTTAAGTGTGTTTCTTAAGAAACAGAAATTTAATTATATCATTTATAAGTAACATATTAATTATATTTTAAATTGTAATGTTTATGTGAGTTTTAGGATATGAGGACTGAGTAAACGATCAAACACTACATGTACAATTCATAAACTTTAAACTTATTTTTCTATTTTTTAATTTTTTTTTCCTGGCACTTAGTACACTTTATTTTATTTAATTTTATTTCTTTTCAGTATTTCAGTAAACCTGAAATTTAAGCAAGTACATTAATTAATCAAATAAATTTACCTCCTAAATTCTGAAGGTGAATTTTGGGTAAGTTTTCTGAATCTAGACGTGGCTGAATATAACATAACTTTCCCCCCACCCTAGGAAATATGTAGTTTCTTTATCTTGCATAATTGCTCTGGTTAGGACTTCTACCACCATATTAAATAAGAGTGGCTAGAGTGGATACCCTTGTCTTATTCCTGATCTTAGAGAAAAAGCTTATAATATTTTACTGTTGAGTATGATATTAGCATTGGATTTGTCATCTATGGCCTTTATTATGTTGAAGCACATTTCTTTTTTTTTTTTTTAAGATTTTATTTATTTATTTGACAGATGGAGATCACAGGTAGGCAGAGAAGCAGGCAGAGAGAGAGGAAGAAGCAGGATCCCTGCTGAGCAGAAAGCCCAATGCTGGGCTCGATCCCAGGACCCTGGGATCATGACCCGAGCCGAAGGCAGAGGCTTTAACCCACTGAGCCACCCAGGTGCCCCGAAGCACATTTCTTTTGTACCCAATATGTTGAAGGTTTTTATCATGAGAAGATGTTATCTGTCAATTACTTTTTTTGTGCCTACTAAGATGATTATATGACTTTATTGTTCATTTTATTACTGTGGTATGTCACATTTATTGATTTGTTCATGTTGAAACATTATTGTATACCAGGGATAAATCCCACTTGATCAGGGTGTATGATCTTTTTAATATGCAAGAAAAGGTATCTAAATCAGAAATGAAGAAATAAAATTATTTTTATAAAGACTTTGTTTATTAAAAAACACAGTAAGAGAGGGAACACAAGCAAGGGTGAGTGGGAGAGGGAAGAGCAGGCTTCCTGCTGAGAAGGGAGCCCATTGTAGGGCTTGATCCCAGGACCCTGGGATCATGACCAGAGCCAAAGGCAGACACTTAACGACTGAGCCACCCAGGCACCCCAACACTATAAGACTTTGACAAAAGAAATTAAAGAAGATACAAACAAACAGAAGGATAGATTGTGTTCATGGATTGGAAAATTGATATTGTTAAAATGTTCATACTACCCAAAGGAATGTATGCATTCAATGTGATCCCAGTCAAATAATACCAGCAATTTTCACAGAACTAGAACAAATAATTCTAAAATGTTTTTTGAAACAGAAAGGACCCCATATAATCAAAGTAATGTTAAAAAGAAAAGCATAGGGGGAGGCATCACAATCCCAGGCTTCAAGCTGTATTACAAAGCTGTACTCACCAAGACAGTATGATACTGGCACAAAAGCAGACACATAGTTCAATAAAACAGAAGACAGAACCCAGAAATGGACCCACAAATAATGGTCAACTAATCTTCAACTAAAGTAGAAAACAATATCCAATGGAAAAAAGACAGTCTCTTTAACAAATGGTGTTGGGAAAACTGGACAGCAAAATGGAAAAGAATGAAACTGGACCTTTCTTACACCACACACAAAAATAATTCAAAATAGGTGAAAGACCTCAATTTAAGACAGGAAACCATACAAATCCTAGAGGAGAGTAGAGGCAGCAACCTCTGTGACATTGGCCACAGCAACTTTTTACTAGACATGTCTCTGGAGGGAACAGAAACAAAAGGCAAAAATGAACTATTGGGAGTTTATTAAGATAAAAACTTCTGCACAACAGAGGAAACAATTCAACAAAACTAAAAGGCAACTGAAAAAATAGAATAAAATATTTGCAAATGACATTGGATAAAGCGCTCATATTCTGAATGTATAAAGAACTCATCAAAATCAATACACAGACATACACAGACACACAGACACACAGACACACACACACACACACACACACACACACACACATAATCCAGTCAAGAAATGGGCAGAAGACATGAACAGACATTTCTTTAAAGAAGACATACAAATAGCTAACAGACAAATAAAAAAATGTTTAACATCACTCATCATCAGGGAAATACAGATCAAAACCACAATGAGACACCACCTCACACCTGTCAGAATGGCTGAAATTAGGAACTCAGAAAACCATTAGGAGAAAAGGGAACCCTCTTGCATTGTTGGTGGGAATGCAAAATGGTGCAGCCACTCTGGAAAACAATAAGGAGTTTCCTCAAAAAGTTAAAAATGGAGCTAACCTACGACCTAACATTTGCACTACTACTTATTTATCCAAAGAGATACAAAACAGCTGATATGAAGGGGCACATGCATCCAGTGTTTATGGCAGCACTATCAATAATAGCCAAATTATAGAAAAGCTCAGGTGTCCATCAACTAATGAATGCATAAAGAAGATATAGTATATCTTTCTTTATGTAGATAGAGAAATATAGGGTATTATTCAGCCATCAAAAAGAATGAAATCCTGCCATTTGCAATAACATGGATGGAAATAGAGTGTATTATGCTAGACAAAATATGTCAGTCAGAGAAAGACAAATATTATATGATTGCCCTCATATTTAAATGTAAGAAACAAAACAGATAAATAGGGGAAGAGGAGGAAAAATAAGATAAAAACAGAGAGGAAGGTAAACCATTAGAGACTCTATAGTTAAGAGAATAAACTGAAGGTTGCTGGAGGTATGGTGGAGGGGATGGGCCAAATGTGTGATGGATATCAAGGAGGGCCCTTGTTGGGATAAGCACTGGGTGTTTTATGTAAGTGAAGAATCACTATATTCTACTCCTAATACCAATACTACACTATATGTTAACTAACCTGAATTGAAATAAAATTTAAAAAACAAATTAATTAAATCAAAATTCTAATGGCATTTTTCAAAAAAAAAAAAAAAAAAACCTTAAAAATTTTATGGGGCCATCAAAGACCTTAAATAGCCAAACCAATGCTGAAGAAAAAACAATACCAGCACAAAGCTGGAACATCACACTTCCTGATTGCAAACTCTATTACATAGCTATAGTAATCAAGAGTATGGTACTAGCTTGAACATAGACACGTAGACAAATAAAATAGAAAAGAGGGTCCAGAGATAAAATGTTATATATATATATATATATATATATATATATATATATATAGTCAATTTATATTTGAAAAGGGAACTAAGAATACTCAATGGGCAGATAATACTCTTTTCAATAAACTGAGTAGGAAAACTAGGTAACTACATACAGAAAAAGAAAATTGTCTTCTATCTTACATCACTCCTGAAAATTAACTCAAAATGGATAAAAGACTTAAAAAGTGGATAGAAGACTCAAACATAAAACCCAATACCATAAAACTCATAGAAGACAGGAAGATGCTCTTTTCATTGATCTTGGCAATGATATTTTGAATATGACACCATAAACACAAGAAACAAAAGCAAGAATCAACAGGTGAGATTATCTCAAATTAAAATACTTCTTCACGAAAAAGAAACAATCAAGAAAATGAAAAGGCAACCTACAGAATGGAAAAAACTATTTGCCCATAAAATATCAAAACTATTTGATACCTATATCAGGTAATGAGTAAATACCCACAGTATATAAACCACCCATATAATTTAATAACAAAAGACAAACAATTAAAAAATGGGCAGAGGAACTGAATAGACATTTTTTCCAAAGAAGACATCTCAAATGACCAAAAGGTACAAGAATAAATGCTCAACATCACTAATCATCAGAGAAATGCAAATCAAAACCACAAGATTATCACCTCACTCATATCAGAATAGCTATTATCAAGACAAGAGACACATGATGATGAGATTTGGAGAAAAGGGAATCTTTGTACACTATTGGTGGGAGTGTAAATTAGTTCAGCCACTATGAAAACACTATGAAGTTTCCTATAAAAATAAACATAAAAATACTGTATGATCAATCCAGCAATCATATTTCTGGGTATATATTCACAAGAAACAAAGACAATGTATTGAAAAAAAAATCTATATTCCTATGTTTATTGCAGCATTATTTACAATAGTCAAAACATGGAAACAATCTAAGTGTCCATTAATAGATGAATGAATAAAGAAGATGTGGCATAGATAGATAGATAATAGATAGTGGGGGGAGGAGTCAAGATGGCAGAAAGCAGCAGGCTGAGATGACATCAAGTAGCAGGAGATCAGAGAGAGCTTATCAAACCATTGTGAACAACTACAAATCCAACAGGAGATTGAAGAGAAGAAGAGCAAGAATTCTAGAAATTGAAAATCAACCACTTTCTGAAAAGTAGAACCAGCAAAGTGAATCCAAAGCGACGGGAAGATAGTCCATGGGGGGACGGGCCAGCTCCTGGCAAGCGGTAGAACAGTAGAGCACAGAATCATGACTTTTAAAAATCTGTTCCACTGAGGGACATTGCTCCAGAGGCTAAACCGGGGTGAAGCCCAGACGAGGTCAGCATGGCCCCAGGTCCCACAGGGTCATAGAAGAATCAGGGGTGTCTGAGTGTTGCAAAGCTCGAAGGTATTAGAGTGGGGAAGCCGGCTACAGAGACAGAGCCAAGGAGTGAGCTCTCAGCTCGGGGTTACCTTGAGCCAGTCACAGGCTGGGTGAGCTCTCTCCAAGGGTGGCCAGAGGCCAGGGAAACGGGAGTGATTGAGCGCTTTTCTCTGAGGGTGCACTGAGGAGTGGGGCCCCCAGCTCTCGGCTCCTCCAGGCTGGAGATTGGGAGGCTGACATTTTCATTCCCATTCTTGGAACGCTACAGAAAGCATTCAGGGAACAAAAGCTCCTGAAAGTGAACCCGAGTGGATTACTTAGCCTGGCCCCTGGTAAGGGCGGTGCAATTCCACCTCGGGCAAAGACACCTGAGAATCACTACAACAGGCCCCTGCCCCAGAAGATCAAAAAGAAATCCAGCCAAGACTAAGTTCACTTACCAAGGAAAGCAGCAGATTTCCAGAGCAGGAGAAAGCAAAGCATGGAATTCATGGCTTTTGCCCATGATTCTTTAGTCTTACAGTTAATTATTTTTTTTTTAATTTTTTTTTCTTCTGCTAATTTTTTTTTAACTTTTACCCTTTTCTCTTTTAATATTTTAAACTACTTTATTTAATAATACCTTTCATTAAAAAATAATATTTTTGAACCTTCATTATTATAGTCATATTTTATCCTTCATTGTGTCTAAGTTTATTTTTTGTATACACATAGGGTTTTTTTCTTCTAAAAAATTTGGGGTGAAACTTCTTCTAATAGATAAAAATATACCCTAAATCTAGCTCCAGGCTTGTTCTAGTCTCCAGCCCAAGCAAATTCTCTCCATTTTCTTTTTCTTTATTCTCCCAACCAACTTACCTTATCAACTCCTTTTTTAGAAATTTTTTTTCCTCTTTATAGGCATATTCCATCCCTTCATTGTGTTTACCCTTAAATACATGTTTCATTCTTTAAAATTTTGGGAGGTAGTTTGTTCTAAGAGACCAAAATACTCCCAAAATTAAGTGGGTGACCCTGTTCTAGTCACCAGTCTAATATATATATTTTTTTCTTTTTTATATATTTTTTTTAATTTAATTTTTTTTTTCAGCATAACAGTATTCCTTGTTTTTGCACCACACCCAGTGCTCCATGGAATCCGTGCCCTCTCCAATACCCACCACCTGGATCCCCCAACCTCCCACCCCCTGCCACTTCAAACCCCGCAGATTGTTTTTCAGAGTCCATAGTCTCTCATGGTTCACCTCCCCTTCCAATTTCCCCCAACTCCCTTCTCCTATCGAACTCCCCTTGTCCTCCATGCTATTTGTTATGTTCCACAAATAAGTGAAACCATATGATAATTGACTCTCTCTGCTTGATTTTTTCACTCAGCATAATCTCTTCCAGTCCCGTCCATGTTGCTACAAAATTTGGGTATTCATCCTTTCTGATGGAGGCATAATACTCCATAGTGTATATGGACCATGGACGAATGGATAAGGAAGATGTGGTCTTTTTTATATTTTTAAAAAATTTGTTTTCTTTTTTTTTTTCTGAACTTTTTTTTATCCCCTTTCTCCCCCTGCCATGATTTGGGGTCTCTCTTGATTTGGCTAAAGTGCATTTTCCTGGGTCTTTGCCACCCTTTTAGTATTTTATTTGCTCCTTCATATATTCTTATCTGGACAAAATGACAAGGCAGAAAAACTCACCACAAAAAAAAAAAAGAACAAGAGGCAGTACAGAACAGTACAGAAGGCTAGGGACCTAATCAATACAGACATTAGTAATATGTCAGATCTAGAGTTCAGAATGACAATTCTCAAGGTTCTAGCCAGGCTCAAAAAAGGCATGGAAGATATTAGAGAAACCCTCTCCGGAGAGATAAAAGCCCTTTCTGGAGAAATAACTAAAATCTAAACAAGTTGAAATTTTTAAAAAAGCTATCAATGAGGTGCAATAAAAAATGGAGGCTCTCTGCTAGGGTAAATGAGGCAGAAGAAAGAATTAGTGATATAGAAGACCAAATGACAGAAAATAAAGAAGCTGAACAAAAGAGAGACAAACAACTACTGGACCACGAGGGGAGAATTCGAGAGATAAGTGACACCATAAGACAAAACAACATTAGAATAATTGGGATTCCAGAAGAAGAAGAAAGAGAGAGGGGAGCAGAAGGTATATTGGAGAGAATTATTGGAGAGAATTTCCCCAATATGGCAAAGGGAACAAGCATCAAAATCCAGAAGGTGCAGAGAATCCCCCTCAAAATCAATAAGAATAGGTCCACACCCCATCATCTAATGGTAAAATTTACAAGTTTTAGTGACAACAAGAAAATCCTGAAAGCAGTCAGGGAAAAGAAGTCTGTGACATACAATGGCAAAAATATTAGATTGGCAGCAGACTTATGCACAGGGACCTGGAAGGCCAGAAAGAACTGGCATGATATATTCAGAGCACTAAACGAGAAAAACATGCAGAAAGAATACTATATCCAGTTAGGCTATCATTGAAAATAGAAGGAGAGATAAAAAGCTTCCAGGACAAACAAAAGTTGAAACAATTTGCAAACACCAAACCAGTTCTATAGGAAAAATTGAAAGAGGTCCTCTAAGCAAAGAGAGATCCTAAAAGTAGTAGATCAGAAAGGAACACAGACAATATAGAGTACAGTCACCTTACAGGCAATACAATGGCACTAAATTCATATCTCTCAAAAGTAACTCTGAATGTAAATGGGCTAAATGCCCCAATCAAAAGACACAGGGTATCAGAATGGATAAAAGAAAACCAAACCCATCAATATGCTGCCTACAAGAAACTCATTTTAGACCCGAAGACACCTCCAGATTTATAGTGAGGGGGTGGAAAACAATTTACCATGCTAATGGACATTAGAAGAAAGCAGGAGTGGCAATCCTTATATCAGATCAATTAGATTTTAAGCCAAAGACTATAATAAGAGATGAGGAAGGACACTATATCATACTCAAAGGATCTGTCCAACAAGAAGATCTAACAATTTTAAATATGTATGCCCCTAATATGGGAGCAGCCAACTATATAAACCAATTAACAACAAATTAAAGAAACACATCGACAATAATACAATAATAGTAGGGGACTTTAACACTCTCCTCACTGAAATGGACAGATCATTGAAGCAAAAGATCAACAAGGAGATAAAGGGCTTAAATGGCACACTGGACCAGATGGACATCACAGATATATTCAGAACATTTCATCCCAAAGCAACAGAATACACATTCTTCTCTAGTGCACATGGAATATTCTCCAGAATAGATCATATCCTGGGTCATAAATCAGGTCTCAACTGGTATCAAAAGATTGGGATCATTTCCTGCATATTTTCAGACCACAATGCTCTGAAGCTAGAACTCAATCACAAGAGGAAATTTGGAAAGAACCCAAATATATGGCGACTAAACAGCATCCTTCTAAAGAATGAATGGGTCAACCAGGAAATTAAAGAAGAATTGAAAAAATTCATGGAAACAAATGATAATGAAAATACAACAGTTCAAAATCTGTGGGACACAACAAAGGCAGTCCTGAGAGGAAAATATATAGCGGTAGAAGCCTTTCTCAAGAAAGAAGAAAGGTCTCAGGTACACAACCTAACCCTACACCTAAAGGAGCTGGAGAAAGAACAAGAAAGAAACCCTAAACCCAGCAGGAGAAGAGAAATCATAAAGATCAGAGCAGAAATCAATGAAATAGAAACCAAAAAAACAATAGAACAAATCAACGAAACTAGGAGCTGGTTCTTTGAAAGAATTAATAAGATTGATAAGCCCCTGGCCAGACTTATCAAAAAGAAAAGAGAAAGGACCCAAATAAATAAAATCATGAATGAAAGAGGAGAGATCACAACTAACACCCTAGAAATACAGACAATTATAAGAACATATTATGAGCAACTCTATGCCAACAAATTTGACAATCTGGAAGAAATGGATTCATTCCTAGAGACATATAAACTACCACAACTGAACCAGGAAGAAATACAAAACCTGAACAGACCCATAACCAGTAAGGAGATTGAAGGAGTCATCAAACATCTCCCAAGAAACAAGAGCCCAGGGACAGATGGCTTCCCAGGGGAATTCTACCAAACATTTAAAGAAGAATTAATTTCTATTCTCCTGAAACTGTTCCAAAAAATAGAAATGAAAGGAAAACTTCCAAACTCATTTTATGAGGCCAGCATCACCTTGATCCCAAAACCAGACAAGAATCCCACAAAAAAGAGAATCACAGACCAATATCCTTGATGAACACAGATGCAAAAATTCTCACCAAAATACTAACCAATAGAATCCAATAGTACATTAAAAGGATTATTCACCACAACCAAGTGGGATTTATTCCAGGGCTGCAAGGTTGGTTCAACATCCACAAATCAATCAATGTGAAACAATACATTAATAAAGAAATAACAAGAACCATGTGATCCTCTCAATAGATGCTGAAAAAGCATTTGACAAAATACAGCATCCTTTCCTTATCAAAACTCTTCAAAGTGTAGGGATAGAGGGCACATACCTCAATATTATCCAAGCCATCTATGAAAAACCCACTGCGAATATCATTCCCAATGGAGAAAAACCGAGAGCTTTTCTGCTAAGATAAGGAACACGGCAGGGATGTCCATTATCACCATTACCATCCAACATAGTACGAGAAGTCCTAGCCTCAGCAATCAGACAACAAAAATAAGTTAAAGGCATCCAGATCGGCAAAGAAGAAGTCAAACTATCACTCTTCACAGATGATATGATACTATATGTGGAAAACCCAAAAGACTCCACTCCAAAACTGCTAGAACTGGTGCAGGAATTCAGTAAAGTGTCATGATATAAAATTAATGCACAGAAATCAGTTGCATTTCTTTACACCAACAACAAGACAGAAGAAAGAGGAATTAAGGAGTTAATCCCATTTACAATTGCACCCAAAACTATAAGATACCTAGGAATAAACTTAAAGAGGCAAATAATCTATACTCAGGAAACAATAAAGTACTCATGAAAGAAATTGAGGAAGCCACAAAGAAATGGAAAAATGTTCCATGCTCCTGGATTGGAAGAACAAATATTGTGAAAGTGTCTATGCTACCTAAAGCAATCTACACATTTAATGCAATCCCTATCAAAATCCCATCCATTTTTTTCAAAGAAATGGAACAAATAATCCTAAAATTTACATGGAACCAGAAAAGACCTCGAATAGCCAAAGGCATATTGAAAAAGAAAGCCAAAGTTGGTGGCATCACAATTCCGGACTTCAAACTCTATTACAAAGCTGTCATCATCAAGACAGTAAGGTACTGGCACAAAAACATACACATAGATCAATGGAACAGAATAGAGAGCCCAGAAATAGACCCTCAACTCTATGGTCAACTAATTTTCAACAAAGCAGGAAAGAATGTCCAATGGAAAAAAGACAGTCTCTCCAACAAATGGTGTTGGGGAAATTGGACAGCCACATGCAGAAAAATGAAATTGGACCATTTCCTTACACCACACATGAAAATAGACTCAAAATGGACGAAGGACCTCAATGTGAGAAAGGAATCCATCAAAATCCTTGAGGAGAACACAGGCAGCAACCTCTTCAACCTCAGCCACAGCAACTTCTTTCTAGGAACATCGCCAAAGGCAAGGGAAGCAAGGGCAAAAATGAACTATTGGGATTTCATCAAGGTCAAAAGCTCTTGCACAGCAAAGGAAACAGTTAACAAAACCAAAAGACAACTGACAGAATGGGAGAAGATCTTTGCAAATGACATATCAGATAAAGGGCTAATATTCAAAATCTATAAAGAGCTTATCAAACTCAACACCCAAAGAACAAACAATCCCAATCAAGAAATGGGCAGAGGACATGAACAGACATTTCTGCAAAGAAGACATCCAGATGGCCATCAGACACATGAAAAAATGTTCCACATCACTTGGCATCAGGGAAATACAAATCAAAACCACAATGAGATTCCACCTCACACCACTCAGAATGGCTAAAATTAGCAAGTCAGGAAATGACAGATGCTGGCAAGGAGGTGGAGAAAGGGGAACCCTCCTACACTGTTGGTGGGAATGCAAGCTGGTGCAACCACTCTGGAAAACAGCATGGAGGTTCCTCAAAATGTTGAAAATAGAACTACCTTACGACCCAGCAATAGCACTACTGGGTATTTATCCTAAAGATACAAATGTAGTGATCGGAAGGGACACACGCACCCAAATGTTTATAGCAGCAATTTCTACAATAGCCAAACTATGGAAAGAACCTAGATGTCCATCAACAGATGAATGGATAAAGAAGATGTATTATATATATACAATGAAATACTATTCAGCCATCAAAAGAAATTAAATTTTGCCATTTGCAACGACGTCGATGGAACTAGAGGGTATTATGCTTAGCGAAATAAATCAGTTGGAGAAAGACAACTGTCATATGATCTCCCTGATATGAAAAAGTGAAGATACAAAGTGGGAGGTTTCAGGGGTAGGAAAAGAATAAATGAAACAATATGGGATCAGGAGGGAGACAAACCATCAGAGACTCTTAATCTCACAAAACAAACTGAGGGTTGCTGGGGTCGGGGGGTCGGGAGAGGGTGGTTGGGTGATAGACATTGGGGAGGGTATGTGCTATGGTGAATGCTGTGAAGTGTGTAAACCTGGCGATTCACAGACCTGTACCCCTGGGGCTAAAAGTACATTTTGTGTTTAAAAAAATAAAAAATAAATAAAAAAACAATAGAGAGATAGATAGACGATAGAATTCAGCCCTCAGAAAAAAGAAATCTTGCCATTTGCAATAACATGGATGGAGCTTGAGGGTATTATGCTAAGTGAAATAAGACAGAGATAGATACCACATGATTTCCCTTATATGTAGAATCTAAAAAGGCTGAACTCATAGAAACAGAGAGTAGAAGGGTGGTTATAAGGGACTGGGGGTAAGGAAATTGATGAAATATTGGTCAAAGTGTATAAGTTTGCAGTTAAGAAATGAGTAATTCTGGAGATCTAATACACAGCATTGTGATTATAGTCAACAATAGTGTTTTATATAATTCAAGGTTTCTAAATGATTAGATATTAACTGTTCTTACACCAAAAAGTAAACGATAATTACTATATATATTGGTGATATTAGTTAACACTATGGTGATTATCTTATTGCAGTATATAAATGTATCAACACGTTATGTACCTAAAACTTATACCATGTTATATTTCAATTATATTCTAATAAAATACATAGTTCATTTATTAGTCTACCAAACTATAATACATAATACATATATGTGTGTGAAAACAATTGAAAATCAGAAGAAAATACAAACATTATTTCATTAATATTAATCAATTAAAGTTTGACTTTTGTTATTCGTCTTAAATTTCTTTTCAATATAGCAGTTACAGATTTAGGTAATCCCCCTATTACTTTAGCAACCACTAACAGACTTTATGTTAACAAATAATTTCTAAAATTTCTAGATTAGTTGTGAGGATAAAATTTACAATAATTTCAATCCTCTCTGAATTAACAGTACACAAGATACATCAATGACTCTTAAATTTGTAGCTCCTACCTTGGTATGCTGTTACACTTTTTAACTGCATGTCCTCTTTATATCTCTTCCTGCCGCTGACCTCCACTTTATTTCAATAAACACTTGACATTAGGTGTCTAAATTTGTGATGAGATATTTACAATAAAGTTATCCTAATTGATATTTATATCTCCTATTCTCACTTTGTAAATCATTCCCTACAAATTTATTACAATGCATTAAAGCAAAAATTCGGCACTTCTTTATTCT